GAGCTATTGACCGGAGAAAACTCAAAGGTCTCCAAAACAACAAAGAATATCACCATTGCCCTTAGTTTCCCAAATAATTATATGGTAAGACCCTGTTGCTCAGGACACAAAACACTTTGGTTTCAGGACACAGAGAATTTAATCTCAAACTATATAGGAAACATCCTCCTTGTCAAGCCTGAGGAAAGTACTACGGAAGCTCTGACGGACAAAAGACATCAGGGATCTGACCCACTGCTAGAACTTGGGTTCTCTAATACTGAATGTCTAGGCAAGATGTACCCACTGGGATGATCATGGATCGAATAGTGTTGGGTAACATTGTTTTCTGACTGAATGTGAGGCTTCCTACACAGGAGGGAATTTCATGCCTGCTACCATAACCCTAACCAAAAATCTATGCTTGAAAAGTCACAGGATATACTGGTTGGTTTTTATCAATTTGACATAAACCTCAACATGTTTGGGAGGAAGGAATATTAGTTGAAAGAATACTTCCATCAGATTGGCCTGTAGGCAAGTCTGTAGGGACTTTTCTTGGTTAATGATTAATGCAGAAGGGCCTCACCGACTGTGGGTAGTGCTATACCTGAGCAGATGGTCCAGGGGTATATAAAAAGTAGGTTTAGCAATCTATTAGAATCAAGGTGGCAAGCACTGTTCCTACACAGCTTCTGCTTCAGTTCCTACCTCCAGGTTCCTGCCTTGAGTTCCTTCCCTGATTTCCTTCAGTGATGGACTACCAACTGGAAATACAAAATGAAACAAACCCTTTCTTCTCCAAATTGTTTTTGGTCATGACGTTTTATTACAGCAATAGAAACCCTAACTAAAACAGAGGCCCTGTGGTAGAATCCACCATTGTTATTTTGCTAAATGTCATGCCATCAAATTGCCTTCTCAATATTTATGTTTCTATCCATAGATTAGCGCTGCTCTCAACCTTGGTCAGAGAAACTTCTTCCTGTAATGGGTGACAGCCTGTCTTCAGTGATGTACTGACTGGTGATAGCACCAGGCTCCAATGGACAGTCCTAATTCAGTGCTCACAGGGATAGGCCTGGGAAACTAATTGGGGTCACAAAACAAACTTAAAAGTTATACATCTGGGAAGGGGTATGACAGGGAGGGATGAAGGGGTGATAGAAATGGGAAGGAAAAAAAAGAGACTAGGAGGGAGAGAGCAATCAAAGTGGATTGTACACCTGTGTGAAACTGTCAAAGAACAAGATTCATCAATAAAAAAAGTCTCAGCAAATGTCAAAGCCTTTAATATCACTCTAGAGACTCTAAGCATAAAGCAAGTAAGAAATAATGGCTAAAAATGAACTAGGGCAAAGCCTCATAATTATAAATATAAAGGCACAATCCTAAGTCACTCATACATGAAGAAATAAATATTACTTTTATAAATTAAAATATGCCTAAAGCCAAGTACTGATGCTAGAATTCTCTTCATTGTGAAATGCTGTTAGAACAATATTGATCAAGAAATCTCAAGTGCTTAGATTAGAAAAGGGGGGGGGCAGGTGGTAATGGTAATGAATAGAATATCTGTCCTGAAAAGTGAGGGGAAAAAAATAAGAGATAGCGAACATCAAATTAAACCCAAAGAAAGTAGAAGAGAGAAATAATAGATAAGAGAAGAAGAAATTAATAAAACAGAAAAGCAACCTACAATAGAATAGATAAAACAAAAGCCAAATTTTGGCACTTTGTAGAAAGTAATAAAATTAACAAACTTCTAGGAAGATTGGTCAGGATAAAAGGTAGAGAATGCATGAATAAACTATACTATGGATAAAACAGGGATTTAATTAAAGATGCTGTAATGAGATAAGGACAGCTTATGAGGAGTCTATGCCAATAAATGGGAATTTAGATGAAAATTTACTCACCAAAATAAACAAAAATGTTAAAGCGAGCCCAAAGAGTCTTCCAAGCAGTGAACATTACCTAAGCAAAGAGCTGATAGGGGGCATAGTGATGACTCTGTGGGATAGATTCACTGGTAGATTCTAAAAACTCACAAGTAGGAGATGTCCCTCTGGTCTAGCCACTGTGTGGGAGACATAGGAAGCCCCTGCTTAAGTTATCCATGTAATAAGTGTAACAAAACAAAATTAAAGTGCTCTGAAAGTTTACTCTGACATTACTGAAGATTGGGCTGAGGTTGTATGTTGGGATGTGTCAAGATGAGAAGGAAAAACCAGAGAGGCAGACTGGAAGGACCAAAATGTACAGCTGAGAAATTTCACTCTATTTGGGACTAGATAGAAAACAGCAAAGTTTTTGCATAACGTGACCAGGCAGGCTTTGAGACTTAAGAGACTAATGCAGAAATATACATGTGATGAGATCTGAGAATATGGAAAAGTGAGGTATGGCAGCAATTCTGAAGGATATTATAGCAGTAAAGTTAAGTTGTGCCCATCCATGCAATAGTGACAAGACTATTTGTGTGGGTAAACAACCGTTCTCTTGATTGGATTCCAGGACTGCTATACAGGAACGAATTCATGCCTAGTACTCTACCGTGGTTAAAACTCATGCCTTGAGAGGTCATAGACCCTACTTGGGAACCTGCTGTTGTTTTTCTAACATGTCATATTGTCAAACTGCCTTCAAAATATGTATGTCTGTAGCCATAGATTTGTGCTGTTATCAAATGTAGAGAAACTTCAAATTGCAGTGTGTAATGAGACTTGTAATTGTTCAAGATGCCAAGAATGAGCAAGTATGAGTGCTAATCTGCAAACAAGACAAAAATATCAACCTGATTCTCCCACCAGGAGAACATCATGGAAGAGGGAGCAGAAAGAATGTAAGGTCCAGAGTATGTTTTGGAGTGATGTGAAATGCTCTCTTCTGGTCATGATGTAGCTGATGCACACATCAACTAACAACATCTATGGTTACCGATACAAGACCAAGCCACTCAAAATTCCAGCATAAATGGAGGAGGGCTTCTAGTCCTTGCCCATAACTGAGGAGCTATCAGCAGCAACTGATGACTACTGGGAGAGGGAAAATCACCTCCCTTTCAAGGGGTGGTCATTGGCAGGTTATCTATGCTCCAGTGTATGACCCCATGTTGATATATATATGAGCAACATTAATTCATTTCAATGAGTTTAAGAAGTTAATAAATTTAAAGAAAATTTTTTAAGTTGTGAGACAATGCCTAATTAAAGTTGTAGAGATAGATGCAAAGAGAGTAAACAGCATGGAGAAGCACCCATAGGATTAGATACACCTAAGATACCAGTTCCAAGACATATGTAAGACTAATGAGGTTGCTAAAATAAATTAATTATACACATGTATGAAACTATAAAAGAATTAAAAAAAGAATATCCCATTCCCCAGTCTGAGAAATAGAAATTAGATAAACTAATAATCACTGGTTCCATCATTTATTTGTTTTGAGGGAATTACCAGAAATTAATAAACATTTAAAGAGACTCAATTTTTCAATTCTGGTGGCGTGTGACCTAGGGGAAAAACAAAGTTGGGTTGGTGTAGGATGTGGCAAAAATGTTAACTGGATGCTGTGTAAGACATTTTCCAAACTTCAGGCAATCAACACACTAGCGCCATGGAGTACTCAAGATGAAGGATGTTCCATAACACTTCCTTCTAACCCCCACCAAAGTCCACTGCCCAGAGCATTGGAAACACAGAGTCTTGAATTCTGGGGTCATGGACCTTCACTGTGGCTTTAACTGGATCATGACTGCTGAAGCAGGTCCTGCTGGGCATGCCACAGCAACAAGAAATGGCCACTTGGAAAGCCAATATAGGAAGAAGCTCACGGAGAAAGCCAGCCCTCTGCTTCTCAGAAGGAAAGTGAAGTCCCCAGAGAGAAGTATCCCCCTCTTAGTCCAGCTTTAGAGGACCAACTGATACCCACATCATTCCCTGCCAAATGAATTCTACCCATACTAGCCACAAAGCTGCCCCTGAAGAGATGAAGATCCTGCTTTGCCATGGAAACCATTGCATTGTGATCAAGGCATTAACTTTCTATACTAAGTTGATGTGTGTGATAGTTCATCATAATTATCAACTTGATAGGCTTTAGAAGCATCATGAAAATAAATCTCTGGTACACTTGTAAGAGATTATCTTGATTAGGTTGGTTGAGGTAGAGAGATCTACCCTGAATGTTAGCAGTACCATTCTCGGACTACAGTCTCAGGATGAATAAAAGCATTCAGCCTCCTCACTGGGTACAATGTGACCTGCTGCCTCCCAACACTGATGTCATACCTGCCTTGTCATGAGATACTGTATCTACTTCCTGTATGGACTTCCTTTCTTACAGTCCTTCCATCAAGTGTTTTGTGGCAACCAGACAAGTAACTAGGAGAGTGATGTTGCTCACACTCTTCTCAAGCCTTTTCTTGGACGCCAAGGTGGTCTTCATTTCTACCATTTAAAGGTCAAGTTCATGGTTCATAGAGATCTAGACTGGGCCAGGAGTTGCAGCTGTGTATCCTTTAAACAAAGAATAAGATGGGGCTCCTGGTTCGTGGAGATCCAGAATGAGCCAGGAGTCACAGCTATGTATCCTTAGAATGAAGAGCAAGATAGGGGTCATGGTTCATGGATATCTAAAAATAACCCAGGAGTCACAAATACGTATCCTTTGAATGCAGAACAAGAGTCCAGGGCCCACTATGAATCCGAGGTCAGTCACCAGGCCTCTATGAGATGCAAATGGTTGCCATTAGAGTCATCCCCTGAAAACGAAATTCTGAGAAGACAGACTAGCCTTAATGTGCCTGTGAGCCGGACAAAGCAGATTTCCAGTTGCCCAATTCTGAACTGATGTGGCATGAAGCATCCCAGCGAAATTTATCACCAGAAAGTAAAACTGTGCCTCCATTTCATATGAAATAGATATTGCTATGCATGGCATCCTCCTATCCAGTTCTACTAAAATAATACAACTTTTCTTTCATGACTCCTGATCACCAAGTTAGACTTCTTTTTATTTTATTAAACTTCTAAAATTTATTTTACATACCAACCACAGTTCTCCTCCCTCCTCCCCTCCCATTCCCTCCGCCCACTTCCTTCCTACCCCCACTCCCATCCACTCCTCAGAAGGGTAAGACCTCCCATGGGAGTCAACAACACAGGGCACATCAAGTTGAGGCAAGACTAAGCTCCTCCCCGCTGCCTCAAGGATGAGTAAGGTATCCCACCATAACGAATAGGTTCCAAGAAGCCAGCTTGTGCGCCAGAGACAGATCCTGGTCCCACTACTAGGGGCCCCACAAACAGACCAGGCTACACCACTGGCACCTACATACAGAGGGCCTAGGTCGGTCCCATACAGGCTTCCAAGCTGTTGGTCTAGAGTTTGTGAGCTCCCACAAGCTAGGGTCACCTGTCTCTATGGGTTTCCCTGTCATGATCTTGACACACACACACACACACACACACACACACACACACACACACACACTGCTGCTTATATAATCCCTCCTCCCTCTCTTCAACTGGACTCCTAGAACTCTGTCTGGTGCTTGGCTGTGGATCTCTGCATCTGCTTCCATCAGTTGCTGGATGATGGATCTATGATGACTATTAGGGTAGCCACCAATTTGATTACAGGAGAAGGCCAGTTCAGGTACCCTCTCAACTATTGCTAGGAATCTTAGCAAAGGTCATCCTTGTGGATTCCCAGGAGTTTCCCTGGTAGACTTCTTTTTAAATGAGTCTTGAGTTAGTACAGGAGAAAGGTTGCAAAGTGGCAGATTGTTTCCTAAACTGTGAATAGCCCCAGATTGCTACCATCCTTGGGTGCTTATGCCTGAATTTGATGGTCTTCTGGTCTCTCTTTTGCACCTTGGCTTTCAGCTGCCATTTCCTGATGCTCTTTACCTCCCTTGTCCAGGGACCCAAATACATAGAAAATAAGAGAACATCTCATTTGCACATTTAAGAAATAATAGAGCTGTCCCAAAGGTACACATCACTAAGATAATTTGCATGGATCAAAGCAGCATCCCTCCTCATGACAGAAGGATGTGCGCCAATGGACCAGAGTGACCCTACATTGCAACAGGAGGCAAGGCTCATGAAATAGGTTTAACTCAGTTCAGCATAGATGAGGCCTGCTCGGGAGGACACAGAACATTGAAGTTTTCTGCTTGTTTTGTTTAGGCTTTCAAGGTACAAACTTGTAGCATGAATCTTAAAGAGTCTTTATTAATAAAACAAACCCAGAGCCAAGTATTGGGGTGAATACTGGAAGATCAGAGAGACAGAATAAGCCACAGCTAACCTCACCTGGCCAACTTCTCAGTTGGTCTTGTTCCCTCAGACTGGAAGCTTCTCTGTCCTCATCCCAATGGCTCTCAGCTAAACTGCTGCTCAAAAGCCTGAAGCTTAACCAGCTAAAAGCTTCTAGTTTTTGGTCTTCATGCCTTATATATCTTTCTGTTTTTGGCATTTTCCAATGTGGCCTTGAACTCAGAGATCCAGAGGGATTTCTACCTCTGAAATGCTAGGATTAAAGGTGTGAGTGCCACCATTTTCTAGCCTTTGTATCTAGTGGCTGTTCTGTCTCTGACCCTAGATGAGTTTATTAGGGTGCACAATATTTTGGGGAACACAATACCACCACAAAACTGAATTGTTTCTTTACTCTTAATAGATACATGCAGAACAAACTTTTTCCTGGCATAACCAGTATTCTTGATTTATATACAATATATGATCACTGCTGTATCACAGCTTGAGATGGTGGCAATCCATCAACTTTCTGGATACACTGATTATCCAGAACAGAATTTTAAATATAAGTCAGAGGAAAGCTACTGGGAGCCGAGTTAGGAAAGGCCTGGGCAACTTACATAAGTCAATAAAGACATTGGTGTACCACAACACTTACCAAACTCCTACTATATGTCTTCACAGAAGATGCTCCCATCTATGAGGGATCAAAATGGAATCCCAGAGTGACAATAATTGAATAACAATGGAGAAGAGTTGTGTAGCATTTCTAAGCACTCTGCTAAGCATTCATTGTCTACTACTTCCATATATTTATATAATTCTCCAAACTACTCCATGGGTAGATTTCTGTTATTATCTGCTGCCTTACTTAACAAAGAAATTAGTGAAAGGTACAGTTGTGGAGATTAAGCTATTAGGTGAGGGGCGCAGGTCTGTTGCCACAACTTGTAATAGAGTCTCATCTGGGGTGTTCATGAGAGTCATATGGGGGAACTTATTAAAAATAAAGATTTCTTGTTTTCCCTTAAGGCTACTGGCTATACCTAAAATTCAAGAATTCTGAGATCCTGGAATCTGCATTTTAATACAGTGCATTGGCTATTCGGTTAAAGTTTTACAGGTCTTGCCACTTCAACAACATAGTTACCGGGCCATGAATGAACACACCAACACCATGAGACGGGGTGAGTAGAAATGTTCTCAATTTGCTCTTTTCCTTTACTTCCATGGTACTCATTGTTGAATAAATGAAATATTTGTTGAATAAATGAACTTGTCCCCAGGGCCCCAAAGAGTGTAAAAAGAAGTTTACTTTTAATACAGTTCAAAACCGCTCCATAATCTAAAAACTGACTCACACTATTGAACAACTTCAGCAAATCTTCCACGCTACCTGCCAAGGTCATAGTTTCAATCTCACCTTCAATTATTGATAGATAGCCTGATAACTTGAGAAGAGAGAAACAGACTTTTTTCAAGATTTGGAAAAAGAAAATCCTTTTAATAAGAGATCCCATCCTGATTACATAGCTCTTATCAGGAAATCCCTTGAAAGCTGAATTCCAGAAGGCAACTATTAAAAATGTCATTGAAAAATTGGAAATTATCTGCTTACACAGCTTAGAACAGACCCAGGAGGGATTGTGAATTTGGTGCAGAACAAGAAGTAAAGATTGTTCATAAAGCCAGAACTGGACTAGAGATTTTTGAACTACCTTTGCCCCCACAATGGAACTATTTGCAATATCTTGGCTCTGGCTTTGCTTTAACTTCCCAGTGTGTATGATCCCTGTAGAATGAATTCAAATGAGACACAAAGCATAGTGTAGACAGGTAGAGTTTGGGACAGAATCATGGGAGGTGTACTATTAAGGATGAGAATGGGTGACCGCCTAAGGGACCATTGCAAAATAAATACTGTTGAGGCCTAAGAGTATACTGTGGCCGGGGTGATCATTGTGCTGACCTACATATTTAGGTAGGCTTTACACTATTTCTTCAGTTTCTGGAACACACAGCTTTCCTGAGGGGTGTTTTCCAGTGTGGCTGACTGACAGAATCACTAGATTGACTCTGAAGGGAAAGGACACTACCACAGATATCTCTTGGTTCTTTACCTGGAAGCCTCTGTGTGATGGTAATCTTTTGTTCTTTGGGACAGTTTAGAATGTCGTGTCTCCACCCAGGGCCAGAGATACTAATCAAAGACCATTTAACAGAGATTTTAAAGAATTAAGGGGGAAAGAGTTAAAAGCTAAATCTGTAGAAATGGCCGTAGTTTAAGAGGAAGTAATACCATCCCTTAATGAATCTCAACAAAGCCCTGCTCCCCCCACCTCCCTCCTTTCTGTGTTGCCTTTGTTTACCCTTTCATAGGGTGCTGCAGTCTGAGAAGAGGCATTGTAACATATCACAGTTTCTCACATGAAATGTCTGTGCTGCCAGGGACACAGGTATTGTGACTCAAAGCTGATAATGAAGGAGGACTCCATCCTTGGTGACCTTCAAGTCTGCTAATTTCCAGCCAGCTACCTAATAGAGTATTATACACTCTATTTCTAATTTGCTTTCCCACTGCTGTGATAAGACATCAACCAAAACTGACTTGGAAAAGAAAGGGTTTATTTCAGCTTACATTTCCACGTTACAATCCATTGTGGAGGGATGTCAAGGCAGAAATTCAATCAGGAACTGAACCAGAAATGGAGAAACACTGCTTACTGGCTTACTCTCTCTACTCATGCTCAGCCTAGACCCATCTCTCCAGAGATGCACTATTCAGAGTGGTCTGCACCCACCTACATCAATTAGCAATCCAGAGAAATCACCCAAAGACATACTCATAGGCATGCATTGTCCTGGTAATTCTTCACATGAGGTTCCCTCTTCTAGCTTGTGTCTAGTTGGAAATAAAATCTAATCAGTATAAATATCAGCATGCCAGATTAGTGCTATCAGCTTTGGTTTCAGAAGGTGACTTTACTTAGAATGGGAAGTTGTTACTGCCAGAGACTCCCGTTTAAACTGCTGAGAATAAGTGACAGTTGTTCATGGCAATCCAATGCTCAGAAAAGAATCATACACCTATCCCCTCTTCTAATCTCAAGGGACATTGCAGACAATGGGAATAAGATTGGGTTGGAAGATGGTATAGTAAAGGGATGTAAGAGCTGGGCGGAGGTGAGCATGTTAGGGTAAAGTGATTTCCTTTGTGCATGGGCATGGCCATCTGTCATCACAGAGCAGTGATAATCATGGCCCCATATCCATAGCAATGAAGTCATCAGAGTAATTCGGTGATACTTAGGGAAGCAGGGACAGGTGATGACATTACCACTCTCTAGTTAGAAGAGAGAGCTCACAGGGTGTCCACCTGGGATTCCACCTGTTATATTTTCCTACCCCACAGCTGTACATGACCTGTAAGGTGTGTGAGTATACAGGAGATAAAAGGCTAACTGAAGGTTATCTCAAAAATGTAGTCTCCATGATGGGATAGGACTTTTCAGTGATACAGATGTTTTTTGAGTAGTCACTCATGCTTCTGTATGTAACCATACCCCCCATCAGTCAGCCCAACAATGAGTTAGTAGTTATTACACACATATACAGAAAGGAAGGAGAAGCAAGAAAAATAGATGTCATCTAAAATGTCTCAATAACTTATTCATGATGTGTGTGAAAACCAAAGGCCAATAATAAAAGAAGTCCTCAAGTTTCTAACAATTGGGCCAGGACCATTTAGAGCCTAGTACCCAGTGACTGATGATGTGTTACAAAGATACCTGGACCCTAACTCTTAATGATCCATGGGACCTTATCCAGACATCCATTCTCAAGCAAGACAACTTAAGCTTAAGTAGAAGGTATACTACTCACAAGGATAGTGAGATGCTTTGTCTATCCATGCATAGGCTGAATGCAAACGGCCCAGAAAAGACCAAGTAATTTCCCCTTTAACATCAATAGAAGGCTTTGCACTCCCTTTCAGCAGTGGAGTCCCCTCTCTGGGAACTCACCCGTTGCTCTCTTATTATAATGATTCCTCTCTGTCTTTTTGTGCCCTTGGCCCTCCATATGTCTCATCACATGCCAGTGTGGACTGAAAATACTAGTGGTACCTCTAGGAATTCAACTGCTGCTCGGCTCTGGTCAATTAGTCTGGATGGAGCTCAAGTGATGGTTTGAGTTAGCACTGATGAAACTTCTGCAGTTGATGCTGAACTGCAATGTGTTAGGGAGGCCTTTCAAATGCAAGAGCAATTGTGCACGTGGTGAGAAGGAAGGCAACATCTGTCTTTGTTCCTCTTTCTCTCCACCCCCTGTCTACCCCTTATGGGGTATTAAATTTCGTAGCCCTTGACCAACACGTTTGCTCACATGATGGGTGAACGCTCTTGCAGGCTTTCAAGCTGACCTTAGAAATTCACTATCTCCATAGGGTACATAAGAGACGTGGACAGAACAAGTGGAGGTCAGTCGAAAAAATGACCTTGTTGCTTTCTCTTATCTATCTGACTTGTTATTCAACCTCTGCAATAGAGAAAGGGGACCCTAGTAGGATCCACTCGTCACGGAGTCACACTGGCTTTTTCTGGCTCACCTTAGGACATTTCGGTGACAGAAAATTGGCAAACTATTTGTCTAATATCTTTAACAAATAGTGAGATTAAGCCATAAGCCAGGAATTACCATGATCCCTTGTTTCTCATTGTTAAACACAGAAACTGCAATTTTAATATCTTGTTGAAAGAACCTTTTAAGCTAAATATGAATATGGCTTTATCTGGGATTAATGAACTGAATATCGTTAAGTCATCTTATCGGGAAGATGTTTGCCTTTGGGACACCGACAAGGAGTCACCTCCCTTGTATCAATATCTGACTGAAAGAAAATTCTATATAACATACATACACACTGATATTTTCTTTCTACTGAAATACATATTTATCATATATGTATTCATCAACTCTCATGCCTGCTGTCAGATCTGGAAAATTAGCTTTTGCATTTACTAACTCCTCTGTGGGAAAGAGGTCCCTCGTGTGTTTAACAAAAGGGAGCTTTATTGTTTATGAGATTGAAAAATAAAGGTTGCCATGGCTTTAAGATCTGGTGATTGGTAATCAGTTTTCATAAATGACCGTGAATCACTTTTGTGCTAGCCAGGCTTTGTTTGGGATATGAGATAGCTGCTCTGTCTTACAAGGAAGGAATTATTAATGTTCCCTCCCTGGAGGGTTTCAATTTCACCCGTACAAATAGCTGTATATCTACCAAGTGTATGTTCACCGTGCCTATCTATGAAATTTAAAATTATATGCTTTGTGTAAAACAGAATATATAATAGACTCTGAAATTGAATAAAACTTATTGGACTCATTTTTTATCCTTTGTGACAATTTTTTTCTAGTAAGAGAGTTCACACAAAAGGCATTGCCACCAAGGATCCAGGAATGCAAAGTCCTGTCCAATTTAAATAATCACTCCTTTCTGTCATGTTTTACAAAGAAGTGTATTCAAACATGCTCTTTGAGCATTTCTATATTCTGCTCTTAGTTTTCACAAATATGAGCAGGCAAAGATCCCCTAGCCCTTCTGTAGGTTTTTGTTACTTGAAAAAAAAAATCTGTCTTGGCAATTGTCTTATTATAAAAATGAGAGGGCTTTCTTTGGAGATAAATAGGACAGAGGCTTGACTCTCAGGAGGATGTAATTCAGTCCCAAACTTCACATCCTCCTCCTGTCAACAAATGTAGTAAAGAAGTGAAGTCAAAGATAATAAGGGGTTCGTGGCAAATCTGATCATGTCATTTGCCTTTATAAAACCTTTTGGTGTCACCCATATTAGCATGCTCCAGACTTCCTAGCAGGGCTTGCAGACTGTATAATCTATAGTCCTCCCATTTCTTAGACTCAATCTCTGTTCTTGGATTCTCTCTCTCTCTCTCTCTCTCTCTCTCTCTCTCTCTCTCTCTC